CCTGGTGGCCCAGTCGCGACACGTTCGTGATCAGCCGCTATAGGCGACGCCGCCCGTGACTCCCTGGGGCCCGAGCGCAGCGGTTAGCCCGACCGTTGGGGGGGAAACCTGGGGCGCCGAGCGCTCAGTCCCGACCGAGCCCCCCGCGCTGTGACTGCTCCGCCCTCTCTTGCAGGAGGTATGTCGCCGGAGGACAGTGTAAGTCCACAGCTAGGCTGGAGGGCAAGGTGGTGATAATCACAGGAGCCAACACGGGCATCGGGAAGGAGACTGCCAGAGACCTCGCACGACGAGGCAAGTCGCCGGCCCTGTGCGGCTGCCGTGTGCGTGCCTGTAGTCCCTTTTCTGGATCGAAGGGAGAAGTATTTGATGCTTACGATTAAGTGAATTGGATTCCAAAGTTATTTCAGCCAAGCCCAAGTGTCACTCCTCCAGAGGGTGTAACCAGTCAGGTGCAAGTCCCCAGTTCCTCAACCAGTTTCATTGCTTGAACTGTTTTTGCCTCGTGACATGAAAATGCTCTGCACTGCAACGGTTTTGAGAGGGCCGGGGAAGTTCCTGGCATCATGGGGTTCTGCTTGTATGAAGCTGGAAAATGCACAAGTCCACCGTCATGTGCTTTAGATAGTCATGTTTCAAGCTAATTTGGTTTAAATGCTTTTTGGGTAACTGGTAAGGAGATTAAACTACCTGTTCATAATCCGTTTAGGAATTACTTTGGCTGGAATCCAAGTAACTTCATGTGTTCCTGGCTTGATGGTTCCCATTATAGGAGCAGACATAATGCTGTCATACCAGTGTTGTGGTACATACTCCTCACCTGGGAGAACCTGGACAGAGGCACTTCAGATAGGCATTTTCCTGGTCTGAAAACAACTTTGGGCCTGACTGGAGCTAGAAAAGTAGCAGGAAAGACTTTGTCCCTCCCAGCTGCTCCCCTGACTGATGCCAATTCCCTAAATAAACAATACATTGTTTGTAAGCACTGTGCGCAGGCAGCCTGCTTGTCGTAGCCTTGATCATCCAGTATGCTCCAGTGATCTCAGCTTCTGTTCCTGCTTTTTTTCCCCACCTTGCAGGTGCAAGGGTGATTGTCGCTTGCAGAGACATAGTGAAGGCAGAAGCTGCAGCCAGTGAAATCCGAGCTGAGACAGGGAACCAGCAAGTCATTGTGAAAAAACTGGACTTGGCTGATACTAAGTCCATCCGGGAGTTTGCTGAAAAATTTCTAGCAGGTACAGTCTCCATATCCTTCTTTTCAGTAATAATATTTTACCACAGACTGCTGTCGGCTCTTCTAGCAAATGCAAGATTCCTGACCTGCATATCCCTGTGCCATGTTGTGTACCGTGATTCACAGCAGGGGCTCGTCAGGGGCCATGAGCTAAATTGTGGTAGGTGACTTGATTTTATTGAGGTGATGTGGCTGCAACTCGGACAGGTGTGGGTTTTTTGGCTGACTTGTGCCACCTTCTTGTCTGTCTCCTGTCTCTGTTGCCCTGTTTAAGGATGCCTGTTGTTTCTTGCAGAGGAGAAGGAACTCCATATTCTTATTAATAATGCTGGGGTAATGCTGTGCCCTTACTCCAAGACTGCTGATGGCTTTGAGATGCACCTGGGAGTCAATCATCTTGGTAAGGCTGGTGAAGTCATGGTTGCATTCAGTATCTGTGGCAAAATGCCAGAGGAAAAGCCTGCCTTGAGACTTCTTTTCCTCATGCTTCCTTCTTGGGGAAGGATGGAAAGCCAGTTAGAGTTCTGGAGATGCAATGCAATGTATTTGCTTGTCATGGACCCGGTTTAAGTACGTGTACGTGTTACCTGGGACATCTGAAATGTATGACAGCTCCATCTTTTTGAAGCTAAGGAGCAGAATTTAATGGCCCGAAAAAAGTTCAGCTGTTGATTCAGGGGCTCTTCTTTTCCCTGGACTTGAATTGAGGGCAGCAGTAAGATTACATGTAAGTAATATGTTGTAAGTACTTTGAAATTCTAGCAAGGGAAGCCTTCAGAGAAGGATGACATCTCCTCTCACCCCTAGGTCATTTTCTCTTAACCTTCCTATTGCTGGAGCGTCTGAAGCAGTCTGCCCCAGCCCGCATAGTGAACGTGTCCTCACTGGCTCATCACGGAGGCCGAATCCGCTTCCATGATCTCCACGGTGAGAAGTGCTACAATCGTGGCCTCGCCTACTGTCACAGCAAATTGGCTAACGTGCTCTTCACCCGGGAGCTGGCAAGGCGGCTGCAAGGCAAGTCCCAGAGGAGAGCAGAGTGTTTTTCTGCTTAGCTTTGAGCAACATGGATGAGGAGAATGGATTGAAGAAAGGTCTGGAAATTGGCTATGCAGAAATGAAATGGTTTGAGGCAAGGGACACTGACAGCTCTTTGTGGGAAGAAAATATCTCCTGTCTGTGGAACTAGGAGGCTTAAAAACTAATTGTCTTTACAACAATAGGGCAGCGGAGTTTAGTAGCTTGGCACAGTTGAATGTATTTCATTTTTCTTTGGTGCTTGTCAAAAACTAGCTGTGTCCACACAGACAATTGTGGTATGTCAGTGGAAGCTGAAAAAACAGAAGGAGCTGAACAACAATTGCAGTCTCCAACAGAAAATCTCATGCGTACTCAGCTGCCTTCAGTGTTGATGGCCTGTAGAATAGAAGCATAGGACTAGACAGTACCTCTGAAGTCACAACAGCATTCAGTCCTTTTCATAAGCTTAAGTAATACTTTACTAAAACAGAAGCAGTGTCTTCTCTAGGAAACTGGTATTCCTGTAAATCCAAACAAGCTGGTGTTCTCAAAAGCCTGGTGGAGACTGCTGCTGTTTTAGCACCCAGGCCCTCTAGCACATTGTTTTGCAGAAGGCATGTAGTGACTGCAGTGTTTAGGAGGGGGCGGGGGATGCTCCAGCAAGCAGTATCTACGGAGGACTTCACTTACACTCCCTATATCCATGTCTGGACTCCTCCTTTTAAGTTGTAGAGTACCTACAGTAGGTAGAATTGAGGAGTATATTACCCTTTTTAAAAAAGGCAGTTTGATGCATGCAGATTTGTCCTGGACTACTTTCTTTTGCCATAGGCACTAAAGTCACAGCCAACGCCCTCCATCCTGGTTCTGTCCATTCTGAGCTGGTCCGGCATTCGTTTGTAATGTCGTGGCTGTGGAATATATTCTCTTTCTTCTTGAAGACACCTTGGGAAGGAGCTCAGACCAGTGTCTACTGTGCAGTAGCAGAGGAGCTAGACTCTGTGACAGGACAGTATTTCAGGTGGGTGCAAGCTGATGGAGTGATACACTGTGGAAAGCAACCTTGTTGGCTGGGGAAAATGAGACTTACTGTCATTCTTCAGTAAGAAGCGACTGTGTAAGAGGCTGGCTGGTAAGATTGAGGGTGACAAATACCAGAGCATTACCCCTTGCAGGTCTGTTGCTGCAGGTAGCGTGTTAGAAGAAATCCCTGACTCGTGCAACACTTCACACAATAGCTGGTCCTTTAGTGTGAGGAATATCACCATACTTAGAGTGCAGGAATGGCTGTCACATGCTCAGAGCTCTAATCCTCATCTGCCTGAGCCTCCGGCAAATCACTTTTCAGTAGAGCTGTTTAGTTAATGAGGTCACTTGAGTCAATCCAGGGAAAAACACTTTGGTTCTCCTTGTAGTTTTGCCCCACTGGAGCAGAAGGGGCCTGTGCTCTCAGGGAGCTGGGAGGGCTGATGGTGCTGCAGAGCTAGGAGGTGAGATTTTTTCAGGACTGGCATGTGACAAAATAACTTGATTCTCTGGTGTGAGAGACCCAGCAGCTGGAAGGGACTCCTGCTGGGATGCTTATCGCTTTGTCCTGCAAACTGTCTTGTGTAGCTCCTACTACAAGCCCTGTTGTTTCTTGACTTCTTTGACTTACTCCACGACCCTGCATAGTCATGCCTTTTCCCCTCACCAAAACTACAGCCCAGAGCCCTTCCAAGTCATCGTCGTACTAGATTTGAAGACTGCCATTTGAACAGATTCATGCAGATGTGTCTGTCAACTTCCCACCAAGTGTAGAGCTGTGTAACAAGACTTTTTTTTTTAAATGAACCTGAAAATTTGTCATTTTCTTTTCCACATGGATACTGTTGGAGCCTTTGAGTCTTTGCAGAGCTTTCCTCTTGTGATATGTGACCAGATTAGTCTCTGTAATGACTTTGTACCATCTTAAACAGACTTGAATATATAAATAGATGTCTTAATCTTCCCTGGATAACTGTCTGTCCCAGGATATAAATGGAGCATTTATGTGCTGAAGTACAGTAAACTTTGGTGGATTTTAAACTCATAAAAGAAAGGAGTTTTTGACTTGGTGGGAAATTAATAGCTTGCATTGGACTAGCCTTTTACAGGCAATAGAATATAAAGCACAAGTATAGATATTAGGAAAAGAATTTGCATGCCACAGCAAGATAGGTGGAGTCCACAAGAGTAATTTCAGGAACATGAGAGACTCTGTATCTGGAGCTCTAAAAACACTAGGCTGGATAGAAATCTTACGGGATGCAATTTCCTCTATTCTCTTAAACTCCCATGTTACTGCAACATCTAGCATTACAGATGAGAACACATGATCTCTGTTCCAGACATACTGCTCTCTGATTGCAGGAGCTGAGAAGAAAAGAGCCACAGTTCAGAGGATAATGGAAAAGGGGATAACCACACATGGTTATTACAGTATTATTATTCTGGGTCAGCTTTGCCTTTCACGCAATGGCAATATAGTAGGATGAACAGGATGGGATGAATAGTTCAGAATGCAGGGCTGTTTGAGTGGCCTTTTTGTAGTGTTTGCTAGAAAAGATGCTCCCAAAGAAGCTTGGTTAGCATTTATAGCCCTTTTTAGTGCTATTAATGATAAGGCTCTACTATATACTCTTCAGTGTACATATATAGGTTTCTTTAAGAGTTGAGACAGCAGAGAGAGCTAGACTTGCTTGCCAGTTCTTTGTGCCATTGGGAGGAACTCCTCCTAGCCAGTTGGAAAGAAAGCTGTCTCAAGGTGGCTTAGCACCAACTCTTGCTCGTTTGCTGGATAGCCTCCCACCCATCTTCAAATTGGTCTTGAAGTTAAGCTGATAGAAAGCAACTCCCTTATCTTAACGCAGACATTTCAGTGTGCTAATGCAGATGGAGATCTTTTACTTAAAAAAATAAAAATAAAAAATGTTCTTACAGTGATTGCCAGCCAGCATACGTATCTCCACGGGGTCGGGATGATGAGACAGCAAAGAAGCTCTGGAGTGTGAGCTGTGAGCTGCTTGGCATCCAGTGGGACTGAGCAGTGTGTTCCTGGCTGAGCCCAGCGATGCTTCCCCTGAGAAGAGCACTACTGAGACACCTCAAGACTTGGGCAGCTGAAGTATCAGCCTTCTTAGTGATGGCTCCATGGACATGAGCTAATGTGAATTTCTGCAATATTACACTTAAGGACTGAGATTTGTAAGCAACCAGTCCACCTTCCTAGCTGCAGAATTAGAGCACCAATGCAGGGAGCAAGCTTTGCTTGGTATCTCTCACAATTGATAGAGGCTATTGTTCTCTGGCTTTAGAATAGAAATGGAGGTTGCAGTCTTAGGTTTAGACTATGAAATATTAATGAATTACCTTTATTTAAAGTTTTTTTTCCTAACAGTAATAGTAAAAAGGTAGGAGTCTAAACTTATGATCTATGAGGTTATTTTCAGTTCCTACTATTTGACCTGGCAGATTGGAAGTACTTTAGGATATTAGATTTTCTGGTAATTACACACAATACAAATGCTGTCAAGCACACAGAAATGGTGCTGGCCTTTTTGTGCCAAGCATTAGGTAAAGTTTTTAAGTGGAATCAATTACTTTTCTCTACATTCTCTGTAAGAAGCTGGACCCTAGCCACTGAAGTATCTTGGCCCAAATGCCCATTGATTACAGTAAGTTAACTGAGAGCTGGCATATCTTTTGAGAACCCAGGTCTCAGTGCAGGTGACTGGGAGCTTAAAAGCTGCAGCGGTGCCACAATTGTGTGCAGGCAAGTTACATTTTTTTTTTTTTTTAATAAGATATCTCTTGTGAAGCACTGAACAAAGATGGTATAAAAGTCGTCACAATAAACCCCCTCAGCTGCACTTCAGATTACTTTAGAACCTAGAAAAGTGAGCAGAATGAGTAAAGAACATCTCTACTATGTTAATAAAATTAAATTACTTCAGCTGACACTAACTTTAAATGACAGCAAACTACCTAGAGCTAAATAGCTGAAGCAGAGGTCAGGACTATCTTGCTATTATGGTCAAGTTAGCTACAGAACAGGAAAGTAAGACTTGCACAGAAATCCTTAAGTTTGCCCAGCAGTTACTGGTACTGCCAGCCTGGCCATGCAGTACCACACAGCTTGCACTTTGAAAAGGCAGCTGGGTCGACCCACATTGTAATGGGACTGCTCCCTTGAAACTCTAGTGCTACCTTGGTGCAAATTGCTAGAGTGTGATGCATAATAAGAGATTATTTCTGAAAGGGTTAAGCAGTTAGAAAACGAGTGCCAGAGCTCATAGTATTATCTTCTGCTTCTAAAAAACATCTGGAAGTTTTTACACTTGCCACTGTGACCAACTGCCAGTTTTGGGAAACAAATGCAAATTTTATGATTAATTCTTTCTGTCTGGATGCTATCTATGCAGATCATCCCTGTGCTACCTCTGAGAAATACTAAATAAAGCCATTTTCCTTTCACAACAGGAGACTCTTCTCTTCCTTCAGAAATGTTGAATCACTTTACTTGGTGTTGCTGTTATCTGCACCTGCCTTACTAATATAGAGAACTCAGTTTGGGTAACATTTTAAAGTCTCTGTGTTTTTCCCTGTCACTCTTCTTTTCCCCTCCCTCTTTATGCTCTTGAATATAAAGCTAAAGCCACAGCTACAATGTAGCACTAGAATGCTACCTAGCATTGCAGGCTGGGCTTGCTTTCTCTCTCTGTGTGTGATTCTCTGCTCTTGAAAGTGGCGCTCAGGAGTGATAGAAACCATTTTTTAAAAAAGCAGAAATTGTCTCTAGGCTGAAATACTTTGCCCTTGCAGGTCAATGCTCTTCTCAAAGAAGTCTGACTGTAGATTTATCACAAGGCATTCAAACTACACATCTCTACAGACACACACCCACTCTTTTTGACCTTGGACAAGTCATTTATACCTTCATCTAGGCTGATCTGTAAAATGAGGGGACTAAAGCTCATTTAGCTGTCTCAAAGGGAGGCTTGTAAGGGAGAGTTAGATTAACTTGCAAAGCTCTCTAAAGAGGATTACTGGTTTGTGAGAGTACATGCATGAGGCTGAGCTAGCTACCTAGCTACTGGGAGGACTTCTAAAGATGTGACATTCCAATTGATCTAAATGTTGAGGACGCTGTAGCACAAAAGAGATTTTGCAGGACAGAACAATTCTCCCCCTTCTAATTACTCTGCTAAGCATAGCCAAAAGCAAAATAAAGATCTAGAAAGAGATCCTCAGCTATGCTGAGATAAAAAGCAAACAGAAGATATGTTAACAGTTGTAATACTTTATTCTCTTTTTTCATTGTAAACAAACCTTGGTCATTGGTAGAGAAGTTCTTTTTAACTGGCAATACTCGATCCCTTTTTGATGCTCAAAAATGCAAACCCCCTTGATAATTGCACTATTCGTGACACAAGGCAGTTAGTCAGGATCAAAATTCCACTTCTGCTGGTAAGAGAAAGATCCCTACGATTCCAGGTTAAGAACAGCAAATTACAACAAACACTGTATAAAGTGCATCAGGTACAGTGCAAAGAGGTGAGGAAGAAAGGCAAGTACAGAACTGACTGGTCTGCATGGCAAACTCCACTCTCTGTGCTCTATACAGCTGAAGGAACTTAAGCAGAAAAGTAGGTATTAGAGCAACGCAGATCTGGATACCCACAAACAGTAAAACCTTCTCCCCATTAACGAGAGATTTGGAAATGATCGAAGACATGGATAGTGTCACGTTTGAGGATTAGCCTAACGGCTGCAATCTGATGGAAAGCTAGGTCAGTCTGGCCAAGAAAACAAAAGCAGCTTTCATTAGTACTGCTCGCTAATGAGATAATGCAAATCTGTGGTCAGGAGATTCTGAAAGCTACATGCAGTCATTTCTGACCGCTTTGCTCTGAGACATTTCTAGTCCTGCTCTAGTGAGCAGAGCACCTCCAAGAGAGGTGTTTGTGTCAGTGGGGCACTGCTCAAGAAACACTAAAGGAGATGAACCAAGTCCTTTCCAATAACATGGAAGTCTGTTCTGTCACTACAGTGAGCTTGGGGATAGTGCAAAACTCTTAAACTTGACAGTCTCAGTTATTTTATGTACTAAAACTATTTACAGTTATATTACACTTCAGAAAACCTGCTGCTTCTTTTGAAGTAAACAACTAAACTTTTTAACAAAAAAAAAAAGGGAACTAGTTTTCCTACCTCTTGTGCTGAAATAGATGTAAACAGCAAACAAACTCTTGGAGTGCTGTATTTTGTTGTTTCTTTTTGAAGGTTCTACTACTGTTTACCATTCTTTTGCTTATTTCTCATGTCCCAGTCATGGTTGCAGAGAAGCAGCTGCTTTTTTCACCATCCTTGAACACAGCTGTTACACAAAGATTCCTGCTTTTTCATAAAACTGAGTTAACCTAATGCTTCCAGAGCAAAACCTGTCGACATACTCTATACAGCATGTCTAGTTTATAAAAGTTTAGTCTGGTGTTCTATTGTACCTGACAGGGACAGATTATTCTGGTATGAAACAAATAAATCCCTATGTGACAGGGATATAGACCACCTGTTCAATTTTACCACGGCTTGCTCTATCCATATTTTCTGCTATATCTGATGAAAAACTGGAAGTTCACTGGCTCCTGTTCAGTGATAAAGCTACATCACAATAATTTATTGGACATTACTGTAGCGAAGAAAGAGGCATGTGATTTTTCAACTATTTTAAAGGATTATTTTCCCTTTATACTCTCCTTATAGGATATGCCCTTTATAAATTCATCCATCTAGTAAGGGCTCAAATGCCGTATTTATGGCACACATCAGACAATGTGACTGGTAAGTAAAACCCTGCCATGAAGAATCAGTTCCTACCTTTTCAAACAAACTAAAGAAATTGGGCACATTGTACGAGTGGGGAGGGAGGGGTGAAAAAAAAAAAAAGATGTAGCAATGGTTTGTATAGAGGCTTAAAAAAACCCTCTAAACTTCAGTCTTTGTAAAAGAAGATCTCTTCAATCTTGAAAAAGTTTACAGGAAAACCATAATCACAAAAAGTTTATACTCTAAGGCTACATTGAGTTGATGAGATTTTTCTGTCTTCTCTACATAGGTTTTCTGGATTAAAAATAAAAACATACAATAAAGTTCAGTGCCTTTCAAAAAAAAAAAAAAAAGAAAACACCTAACAAACCCCACCCCAAACCAGAAACAGAAGTGCTCTCTTCTGTACACCTAAATTCTTGCTTGTTCAGTTTGAAACTGCC